TCTCCCTCTATCCCCATGGACGGTCCGCGCGTCATGGCATTCCTCTCGATGTCGTACGCGCCGCTTCGAAACCTTGAGGATATTTTGTAACCACACCCGGCTCTTCTTTGGATCAAGGATTGCCCAGGTAAGGTTCCCCTCTTTTTTTTTTCTTCTCCGCCTCTCGCGGTTATGCCTGTTGTTTCCACCACTGCAAACCGCCGCTGCAGCATGTGGGGTTTATCCTGCACGGCGTCAGGTTAAAACCATAAGCTTAAAAGTTTTTTTTTTTTTTTTAATCTTAATGTATTTCGGATACACCGACACAACGGTGTGCATAATTCTGTCCGAATAGTTTACAAACAGAAATCTTGAAAGTGTGGGGGGCATTTGTATTCATCCCCCTGTCCTAATATCTTGTCAAACAGCGCTTTACATCCATTGCAATGGGAAAAGTTTACACATCTAGAAACTGAAATTCTGCGCGCATCGTTCTTCTAAAGCCTTTTGTGAACAGCAGTTTTGACATTGCGTGATGGTGTAATTGTCATGCAGTGTTAGCTTACAGCTAGCTACGGTTTTGCATGTAGACCAGAAAGTTACAATTTGGTCTCATCTAACTGGAGCGCCATATTCCAAGGCCGTGTCTTCAAGGCTTGGGGCAAACTGCAACCTGATGATTTATGGGTTGCATATTGTTACTTTTCACATCCTTTATTATGATGGATGGAAGAGATGGTCAGAACTTCCTCTCTTTCTACTCTTTGGTCCTGCTCTGCATCCATGAAACCTCCTTTTCAACTTCTATCAAGTATTATTGAGCTTTTGAGATGCTATCCAGCTGTTCCCAGTTGCAAAAATAACACTTTGGCCACTGAAATCATAATACTCTATTTTTTTCTTTTTCACATACCATCTGAATACAAATCATCTTCTTGCTATAAAATCGTCAGATTGCCTTTTCTGAACATAATCCCATTTCTGTCCCAGTGTTGTTCTGTTTGCTTTTGCCCTTTTTGAGGTGTCTGCCTCCCTCTATAACCCAAGTAACGAAGATAGGGGGCGGCGATCTACGAGGCGCAGGACCTGCTGACGCGGGGCAGCGTGGCGCTGAAGGTGGAATCGGCCCAGCAGCCCAAACAGGTGCTAAAGATGGAGGTCGCCGTCCTGAAGAAGCTCCAGGATGAGTGGAAATGGGCTCGGCGGATTCATTTACAAGAACCGATCGATCCACGCCTACACAGTGACCTATTGATTTGATTCAACATGCATGTACTTTTTGTCATTGGGTGAATGTTGTAGGGAAGAAGAAAACCGTTTTTACATAAATCTTGTTGAAAACACAGGAAATGGCATGTTGAGTGTCAAACCCATGTGTGGATCAGTTCTGGGGACAGATTGTCTGAAATTCAATTTGGGTGACACTTCATTTTTGCTGCAGTATCCTGATTGTCAATTTCTTCTTACAATTCATCAGAAAATTTTTGCATAGGCTCAATTCGTTTCTTTTCCTTCTTTTTTTTTTACTCCAAACTCTACTTTATTGCTTTTTAACCAGCATGTTGTGTTTCTTTTACCCATCTGAGATGAAAATCGATGAGCTGGGATCATGTTTGCTGTCTAATGGCCTCGACCTGCAGCCCTGTGATTCTGCTGCTTCCTAAGGGAGCCTGCATGTAACTTGAGATGAACTCAACTCTAATCCCCCATCGCTGCTGATCCGTGCAACTGTCGAGAGTAAACATTGACCAACAGTATCATTCCAAGGCTCATTGGTCATCCCGCTCTCATCACGAGAAACACACTACTACGTGGTGATGGAGCTTCAGGTCAGTGTTGGTGGAGGGATACGCCACAGAGTCAGCCATGGAGCAATGTCACACGCCTTCACTCCAAATACAAAAACAACAGGTTCTTTCTTTTATTTGTTTTTACAACGTGGAAAAATGTGACGT